TTTGTGCAAGCTGTGTAGTACAAAGTAGTACTGGGAAGTGCTTTGTGCAAGCTTTGTAGTACAAAGTACTACTGGGAAGTGCTTTGTGCAAGCTTTGTAGTACAAAGTACTACTGGAACGTGCGTGAGGTAGTTCTGGGAAGTGCTTTGTGCAAACTTTTTAGCGCAAAGTAGTACTGGGAACGACTTTGTGCAAGCTTTGAAGTACAAAGTAGTACTGGGAACGACTTTGAGTAAGCTTTGTGGTACAAAGTAGTACTGGGAAGTGCTTTGTGCAAGCTTTGTAGTACAAAGTAGTACTGGGAAGTGCTTTGTGCAAGCTTTGTGGTACAAAGTAGTACTGGGAAGTGCTTTGTGCAAGCGTTGTAGTACAAAGCAGTACTGGGAAGTGCTTTGTGCAATCTGTGTAGTACAAAGCAGTACTGGAACGTGCTTTGCGCAAGCTTTGAAATGCAAAATGGTACTGGGAACGACTTTGTGCAAGCTTTGTAGTACAAAGTAGTACTGGGAAGTGCTTTGTGCAAGCTTACTATTACAATGTAGTACTGGAAGTAGTTTGTGCAAATTTGTAGTGCAAAGTAGTACTGGGAAGTGCTTTGTGCAAGCTGTGTAGTACAAAGTAGTACTGGGAAGTGATTTGTGCAATCTTTGTGGTACAAAGTAGTACTGGGAAGTGCTTTGTGCAAGCTTTGTAGTACAAAGTAGTACTGGGAAGTGCTTGTGCAAGCTTTGTAGTACAAAGTAGTACTGGGAAGTGCTTTGTGCAAGCTTTGTGGTACAAAGTAGTACTGGGAAGTGCTTTGTGCAAGCTTTTGTAATACAAAGCAGTACTCGGAAGTGCTTTGTGCAAGCTGTGTAGTACAAAGTAGTACTGGGAAGTGCTTTGTGCAAGCTTTGTGGTACAAAGTAGTACTGGGAAGTGCTTTGTGCAAGCTGTGTAGTACAAAGTAGTACTGGGAAGTGCTTTGTGCAAGCTTTGTGGTACAAAGTAGTACTGGGAAGTGCTTTGTGCAAGCTTTGTAGTACAAAGTACTACTGGGAAGTGCTTTGTGCAAGCTTTGTAGTACAAAGTAGTACTGGGAACGGCTTTCTGCAAGCTGTGTAGTACAAAGTAGTACTGGGAAGTACTTTGTGCCAGCTTTGTAGTACAAAGTAGTACTGGGAAGTGCTTTGTGCAAGATGTGTAGTACAAAGTAGTACTGGGAAGTGCTTTGTGCAAGCTTTGTGGTACAAAGTAGTACTGGGAACGGCTTTGTGCAAGCTTTGTAGTACAAAGTAGTACTGGGAAGTACTTTGTGCCAGCTTTGTAGTACAAAGTAGTACTGGGAAGTGCTTTGTGCAAGCTTTGTAGTACAAAGTAGTACTGGCACGTGCTTCGTGCAAGCTTTGAAGTCCAAAGTAGTACTGGGAAGGACTTTGTGCAAGCTTTGTAGTACAAAGTAATACTGGGAAGTGCTTTGTGCAAGCTGTGTATTACAAAGTAGTACTGGAACGTGCTTTGTGCAAGCTTTGTGGTACGAAGTAGTACTGGGAACGTGCTTTGTGCAAGCTTTGACATGCAAAAGTAGTACTGGGAACGACTTTGTGCAAGCGTTGTAGTACAAAGTAGTACTAGGAAGTGCTTTGTGCAAGCTTTGAAGTACAAAGTAATACTGGAAGTAGTCTGCGCGAACTTTGTAGTGCAAAGTAGTGCTGGGAAGTGCTTTGTGCAAGCTTTGTGGTACAAAGTAGTACTGGAACGTGCTTGAAGTAGTACTGGGAAGTGCTTTGTGCAAGCTTTGTGGTGCAAAGTACTACTGGGAACGACTTTGTGCAAGCTTTGAAGTAAAAAGTAGCTAAGTAGTACTGAAACGACTTTGAGCAAGCTTTGTGGTACAAAGTAGTACTGGGAAGTGCTTTGTGCAAGCTTTGTAATCTTTGTAGTACAAAGTAGTACTGGGAAGTGCTTTGTGCAAGCTTTGTAATCTTTGTAGTACAAAGTAGTACTGGGAACGACTTTGTGCAAGCTTTGTAGTACAAAGTAATACTGGGAAGTGCTTTGTGCAAGCTTTGTAGTACAAAGTAGTACTGGGAAGTGCTTTGTGCAAGCTTTGTAGTACAAAGTAGTACTGGGAAGTGCTTTGTGCAAGCTTTGTAGTACAAAGTAGTACTGGGAATTGCTTTGTGCAAGCTTTGTAGTACAAAGTAGTACTGGGAACAACTTTGTGCAAGCTTTCAAGTACAAAGCAGTACTGGGACGTGCATTGTGCAAGCTTTGTGGTACAAAGTATTTGTAAAGACTCTTCTGTGTAAAAGTCTCTGTGCCTTGAGCTTGCTGACGTGCAGAAGAGCCGAGATGAGATGAGACTAGCTTCGGTGAGTTGAAAATGGTTGAGCTGCGCTCAGATGACATGAAAATAGCCAAGAAGAACTTAGCTGACATATGGGACGACATGAAATGTGAAGAGCGCAAGCAATGTGAAATGTGAGGAAATTGTTTGCTTGACGTTGCATTGCACCGG